TGTGTGCATCCTATCATCATTACACCAGATGCTAATTTTTTGGGATGGAGATAAGGTGAAAATAATGAATGCCGACGATAAGCTATTTGTGGCAAAAGTGTACTCGGCAGATGCTGTTTTGTATGACGAAGAATGTGTTCCTATTCGATTTGTGGGAACAGGTGCAGATAGAAGGCCAACCTCAGCAACCATGAGAAGAAGTCTTGCCGATCGTGAAATCGGTGAGTTGCAGTAGGAGAATTCTAGGCTGAAGGTAGAACTCCCTCGGCTTACTATAATTGAAGAATCCATTGGAGCTATATTAGCACAAGAAAACAATGCAGGAAGTGAACAAGCAATATATTATCTCAGCCGAGTTTTAACTCCAGTCGAGTGTCGATATGCACCGATTGAGAAATTATGTTTGGCTTTATATTTTGTAGTAATGAAATTAAGAGTCTATATGTTGCCTATTTTGGTTTATATTGTTTGTGAAATAGATCTTATAAAGTATATGTTATCAAGGCCATTAATCACAGGCCGGACGGGCAAGTGGGCTTTGGCACTAATGGAGTTTAACTTTACATGTGTTCCACAAAAGGCAATTAAGGGAAGAGCATTGGTAGATTTTCTTGCCCATCATCCCTCGCCTGAAAATTGAGTCACAAGTATTTGATGAGCTTGACTCGGCATCCATATTCATGACTCCATGGACTTTAATGTTCGATGGGTCGAGTACTAGTGAAGGCTCTGGAGCTGGTATAGTCATAATATCCCCAACATGGAATCAAATTTCGTTTTCCTTCTTTTTGGATTTCAAGTGTTCAAATAATCAAGCCAAGTATGAAGCATTAATTATCGGCTTGGAATTCCTGTCAAAGACATCCACATTGTGGGAAATTCAAGTTTGGTGATTAATCAAATCTCAGAAGACTTTTGATGTTTGAATTGGTAATTAAGACCATTTCATTCGTTGGCAACCCAATTGGTAAACCAATTTCACAGTGTGACTTTGGAATACAGACCAAGGTCATGAATAAAATAGCTAATGATTTAGCACAGACTGCTTCAGGAGTCAGGGTGTCGAGTGGTATGAAGGAAAGGATAATGAAAATTACACGTCGATCTCTTCCATCGGCTGAAACAAGAAATCAAGTTATGGAAGAAGTCTTTGCCACTGATGTTGCCGAGTTGGATGATGATGATTGGCGAATCCCTTACATCTTGTTCTTGCAACATCCAACTCCAGAAGCCGATCGAAGAATAAAAAGAAGTGCAGTCGATTATGTGCTTATGGATGGAGATCTTTTTAGAAGATCGGCTGATGATGGTTTATTATTTCAGTGCATTAGTAAGTTTGAGGGTTTGAAGATTATGACCGAGGTACATGAAAGGATATGTGGAGCTCACCAAGACGACATAAAAATGAGGTGGTTGATACGCCGATATGGATATTATTGGCCTGGAATGAGAAAAGATTGTATGACCTATGCAAAAGGTTGTATAGACTGTTAAAAGCATGGTCCAATGCAGTGGGTTCCAGCAATAGGATGCAATTACTAGTTAAACCATGGCATTTCAAAGGTTGGGCCATGGATCTAATCGGCAAGATTAATCCTCCTTCATCAAAGGGTCATCATTGGATTATTTTAGCTACCGATTACTTTACCAAATGGGTAGAAGTCGAGGAATACGTATCGGTAACTCATAATACTGTTATACAGTTTTTAGAGCGACATATCTTTTACCGATTTGGCTTACCCGAAATAATTGTTGCCGATAATGGATCTGTGTTTCGAGCAAATGAAGTATTATAACTCAGCATTGATATACAAGTGAAAATGGTATCTTCAACACCCTATTATGCTTAAGGGAATGGCTAAGCAGAGGCTTTAAATAAAGTTGTTATTGAAATTATTAAGAAGATGATAAAAGATAAGCCAAGACGTTGGCATGAGACCCTTTCAGAAGTGTTGTGGGCCTACAGAATTCGAAGCGAACAAGTACAGGAACAACTCCTTATCGGTTAACATTTGGCCATGATGCTGTGTTGCCGATGGAGTTAAATGTAAAATCGGCAAGGTTAATTCTACAACACAATCTGCTACCTACCGATTACAATGAAGCTATGCTTGCCGAGTTGGAAGACTTGGATGAAGTTCAGAAACTTGCTTTAGACCACCTTATGGTTCATAAAGCAAAGGTAATGAAGGCTTATAATAAAATGGTGAAGTTCAAGTCATTTACAGTACATGGTTTGGCAAACAATTCTTCCACCTGGAAAGGTAGATAGAATTTATGGCAAATGGTCACCTACTTGGAAGGGACCATATATAGTTCATTAAGTGTTACATGGAAGTGCTTATAAATTGAAGGATTTGGATGGTGAGGTGTATGAAAGGCTAATAAATAGAAGATATCTGAAAAAATATCAACCCACTATTTTTGAACTTATGGAGGAAAAGAAAGCCTCTAATAAGTCAAATATAGAGGGTCGTGTTCAGTTTAAGCCATCTATTTTTGCAAATGCGTTGAGCGGCTCTATAGTGCATACACAATTTTGTTACAATAGGTGTAGTTAAATTTTGGAAGCCGAAGGGTTAAAACGGCTACCAAAATTGGGGTGCATTGTTGACACCCATTTTGGTAATTACATAGGCATTAACGTGGCAGTAAGCGTTGGTTTGAAATGGAACATTCTCAGCAGAATTACTGACGTGGCTATAATTTGGGCTGAAATGGGTTTATGTTGTTTACGTGGATTAAAATGCATGGTAATGTTGGAGAAGCCTTTGAATTGATTAGTAGATAAGGATCAAAAGCTAGTATTTATTTTTTAGATAAGTTTAGTTATATAATTTTAATATATATCGATTAGTTTATGTTAGTTAAATGGTGATAATTATCTCTAGGATTAGTTTATTTTGAATTTAAATTCAGTGATGAGATAGAATTTTATTGTAATTAGAATACTTATTGGTAGGAGTTTGTTTCTAATAATTTCTATAAATAAACAAAAGGGCATGCTGAGATAAAGGTCCAGCACCCTCAGAATCTTTATTATTATTTGTTTATTTTCTCAAACTTTTCCAAGAATAGCATCCTTGTTATTTCTTCTTTCTTTCATTTTATATTTCTCAATCTCTCGCTCTATCTATTTCTCTCTTTCCTTCTATCTCTCTCTTTCCTTCTATCTCTCTCTTTCTTTCTCTTTTCTTGTTATATCTATTTTCCTCCCTTTTCTATTCTCTTGATATGTTACTATAAATTATACACTGAAAAATCCTTTTAACTAAGGCATTATTGAATTCAAAAGAGGAATTTTATTGTTCCTTTTTTTTCTCGCATCATCTGAAAGTTAACTTTCTCAAAGGGACTAACGTTGACTGTTTACAATCGAATCACACAAGTGGTTCTGGCACGCCTGTTTTACATCAAATTAAGATCGGCTCTAACCGGCCAATTTTAGGGTCAACAATATGTAAGATTTTTGAGAGAGAGAGATGGATAAATTTTTAAAGAGAAAAAATGATTACGGAGGTAGAAAATTTAGATAGAGAAAAGGTGAAGAAAATTTTTATAGAGATAAAAAGGAGATGGGTAAATTTTTAGATTATAGAGAAAAAGTTACAGAATTTGAAAGAGATGAAAAAAAGAGAGAATTCAGATCCAAATTTAAAAGAGAGAGTGAAGAGAATGTCACTAGGATCGGCCTTTGAACAATTTGGAGCGGTAAAGAGAGGAAAATGAAGGGTATGAAAAGAAGATAAGATATGAGAGTATCTTTGTCATATACAGAATTTTATTTTTATTATTATTTTTATTAGGCTATAGTGCATTAAACCCCTCTGAACTATTGGGGTATGTGCAAGAAACCCCCCTGAACTATAAAAATTACAAAAAAAACCCCCTGAACTATTAGGGTATATGCAAGAAACCCCCCTGAACAATAAAAGTTACAAAAAACCCCCCTGAACTATTAAAGTTGCAAAAAACCCCCCCGAACTATTGGGGTATGTGCGAAAAACCCCCCTGAACTATATATTTTTTTGCAGTTTACCCTATCCAAGCGAATTGATTGACTGAAAGGGACGATGAAGCCGAGGAATTTGTTGCTGGGATCGGTGGGTCTCCTGTCATAGCTCCATCATAGCCGTTGCACCACTAGCCAGATCCGTCGGCCATATATATAGCACTTCTCTGCACCATTGCGTCAGCCCATCGCCGTCACTGCCTTGCCCACCGTTCAGCTCACCTTGCTCACCGGTCCATTCCACCGTCCATTCCAATCTCGTCGGCCCATTCCGCCATCTCTATAGCAGAGCACATCGCCGTCCGTGTTTCGAGCACACAGCTGTCCACCGTTCACCGCCGAGCCCCCTTGAGCTCGCCGCCGCCTCCACAGTTCATGGCCGAGTCAACCGAGCTCTCATCACAGCCGAGTCCTCTGCGCACAAGCCACTATCATCCGAGACCGAGCCATCCCGCTGACCTCGGATTTCTTTGGTCTCTTATCTCTTTCTCTAGCTCTCAGTTTTGGGTTGTGTTGGGTGAAAGGCATCTTTTGGCCAAAAAAAAAGTAAGAAGTGTATAAGTTAAAACGACGCAGTGTACGTGTTATAAGGATAAACTGGTCTTTTAAAATTTTCGGTATCGAAAGCTGATGTCATGGGGGTAAATTGCAACAAAATCATAGTTCAGGGGGGTAAATTGCAACAAAATCATAATTCAGGGGAGTTTTTTGTAGTTCAGGGGGTTTCTTGCAAATGACCAATGGTTCAAGGAGGTAAATTGCAACAAACTCATAGTTTAGGAGAATTTTTACAGTTCAGAGAATTTCTTGCAAATGACCAATAGTTTAAGGGGTTTAATGCACTTTACCCTTTTTATTATTTTTCAGGGAGATTTAAGTATTTAAGTAGATGACGTCGTTGTCCCACGTCCGGCTCGATGTCTATTCGTGGATATCATTATTCTACATGAAAATGTAATGTTTAAATTTAGAAAGTTGAGGACTAACTTGGACCGGACGGATATGGTAATTTTCATATTTAAAGTACTGAAACACACTTCTTCTCACCACTGTGGGAGTGTACTGTGTTTCTCTCTCTTCAACCTCAGCATTTCAAGAAAAATGGCAGAAATGCCGATTCAATTCGGAATCATGGGCTGTGCCGAAATTGCACGCAAGGTATCGCGAGCAATTACACTCGCGCCGAACGCCACCATCGCCGCCGTTGGCAGCCGCTCGATCGACAAGGCCACCGGATTCGCTGCAGCCAACGGCTTCCCTCCGGCGGCCAAGGTCTACGGCAGCTACGAGGCCGTCCTCGACGACCCCAACATTGACGCCGTCTACGTCCCTCTCCCCACCAGCCTCCACGCGCGGTGGGCGGTGCTCGCCGCCAAGAAGAAGAAGCACTTGCTGCTCGAGAAGCCGGTGGCTCTCAACGTGGCCGAGATTGACACGATTATCGAGGCGTGTGAATCCAATGGTGTGCAATTCATGGACGGTACCATGTGGATGCATCACCCTCGGACGGCCAAGATGAAAGAGCTTCTCTCCGATTCTCACCGTTTCGGGGCACTTAAATCGGTATGTATATTGAAAATTAGCATTTACATGTAGTATACATATGAGTGTGGGTGTATATATATTGAATTTAGTTGCTTTTTGTTATTAATTAACCAAATTTAGTTGCCTTTTTGTTATTAATTAACCAAATTTAGTTGCTTTTTTGTTATTTATGTTTTTCAATAATTTCCCAATTTTGGATATAGGGGATTTTTCAATGTTGTGATGATGCTCTGAGCTTGAATTTTTATTTTTTAATTTTTTTATTATTGTTTTTTTTACAGGTAAATCTGAACTGGAAATCAATATGTGAATTTTTTTTCTTTTATTTTATGGAAATGAATATGGTTGCTTGAATGAAGATTGAAAAAGTGTTTGTGTGTGTGTGCCTATATATATATATAAATATATATATATTTTCTTGTATGCCAATCTTATTTTTTACTATTGTTGTTTAATATCTAAAATGCTTTTAGCTCACAGTCATTGAGAAAGATGATACATTAATAGTTTATTTTCATTATTATTTTCAGTTGCATCAATTCTGTGAAGCATTAGCTTGCCTAATGATTTGTAATTACAAAAATATAATGGATATTTATGGTCACTACTCATAAAAAAGTACTCATTCCCAATCAATATGGCATTTTGTTGGCCTATCCAAATGCCTTTTATGTGGTGAAAATTCATTTTTCTTGTTCATAATACATTATAAAAAAGCAGGCTTCAAATAGCAGAAAGGTTACCTAAGGTGGTGAAAACTTATGGTGGCAATTGGACGCGTGTGGAGATTTTTTTTAATGGAGGGGTCATTGAGCTTTAGTAATTTTAAAATGATTTTATCCTAAAAGTGGGTGTTTGGAGCTACAAGTTGCATGGAAATTGAATCATGTAGAGATTTCTTATAATTCATAGATGCATTTACAATAATGGGGCATAACATATACTATCATATCCATGAAATGACGACAAATCACAATAGCGATATCATGGTTATATTGAAATGTATTAACCCTTGTTGGCACTTAGAAATAGAAAACAAAAAATATGTTTCCCTAATTTGACATTTGAATTGGTTAGGTTAATATGACAACCAAAATTCACTGTCTAGACATCAATTCTTTCTCCTCTGTTCGTTTACTTGCTTTTCATTATTAACTTGTGATTTTTATTTTTATTTTAAAATTTGTTTCTTAGTAGCTTACAACCACGACAAATCAAATTTGAATACGAGGACCACACTTTTATTGTCCCGATCTGGGTCATCTCTATCTGTTCCTTTTGCTTGATTTGCAATAGGCATATGGTATGATACTCTATAACCTCTTTTTACTTTCAAAAAATTACCCTTCAATGAGGGGTAGGTGCTCAATTTATACTGAGGGACACGGGAGGTTGGAGTGGTAATTTCCGAAATCTATATACACAGTTGTCTAGGGTTGAGTTAAGGTAGCCATCATGAGGGTCCAGGTGCATTATATGCATGGCAGCCTTGTGGACGTGGAATTATCAGGGACTGGGGTTGGGTGAGTGGAGGAGGGAGAGTAAATCCTTTGTTTGGAAAGGGGAAATAGAAAGGAGGGAAGGGGACCAGCTCCTCTCTTCAGAAGTGGGGTTGGTGGAGGACCTTGGAAGGTGACCCCAGGAAAATGAGTTTTTAGACTTAGAATGTGCTGGTGAAATGTGAAGGGGATGCTAGTTTAGAGAGAAAAAGTCTTTATTATATATATGGAGAGAGAAAATTAAGATCTTGGTGTTCTGGTGGTTGTTCCCCTTAAGAACAAGGGTAAAATGGTCATTTTCCAAGGTCTAATGCATAAGGGTCTACAGTCGGTATATAGAGGTCAATTCAAGGAAGTCATCATGAGATCAAAGTAATCATATATTGTATTAAATGCATTCATACAATAATATCAAGTCAAATAATATGATCAAACAACTTTATAGAATTCTCAAAGACTTGAGCCATGAGAGTCTCCCTGAAAATTTAAGTGTGTGGTATCCACTTGTCTTTCTAAAGCATATACTTACAGATTCTAATCATATACTCTCATCAGCAAAATGATTGCACTCTTATAGCTGTACTGATCCTTGACTCTCTCTCTCTCTCTCTCACACACACACACGTACAAACTGGACTGCATATCTTTTTCAAGTCTGTTCAAGCTATATGCATTAATGTGGATCACAAGAAATAAATGAGTAAAACTTGAATCTTATATTTTGTAAAATGTTTATTGCTTTCGGATGACTTTATTCATTATAGTTCTTCTCTTCAGCAACACTATAAAGAATCATCCTTGTAAGGTTGGAGGGATTTTCAACAATAAAGATATCATTGTTGTGTTCATAGGCAAAAATAAGCCAACTATGTAATGATTTGACTTCTGCAACTAACTTACCCCACTGCTCTTTGATGCTTGAAACAGATGTTGAGCTTGATTCTCTAACATACATATTGTTGCATCCTTTTCTTCTTTTTGCTTGACTGACACACTTGAATTGAGCTCATTTGGAGTTTCCCAACATATAACAGCAGTCAACTTCGAAAAGTGAGGGAAATCTTTTGAAATTACCAGCAGCGTTTTCCGCTATGGAGTGAGAAATTGAATGATATCCTTCCATTCATACGGCATAAGCCATTCTTGATACCCTTCCTCCCCCTTCCTTCTCCCACCCTCTCTCTCTCTCTCTCTCACACACACACACACACAAACAAACACACAGAGAGACTAATCATTCTTGTTTTTCTTCCAAATTGCGCCAACCTTTGCCTAGGTAGGCGGGGGAACGAGTTTCATGGAAATGGGTGATGTTTGCATCATTGAAAGATGAGTATAGAGTTCACTACATAGTCATGTATCATGAACAAGGAGGTTTTAATCCGAAGACCCTTTTTAATTAGTGAAGGTGATATCGCACATTTGACCCTCCTTAGACCCACAGTGGCGAGAGCCCCTTTAATTAATCGACACTTTATATGGGAAAGATTATTTTCTACCAGTGGTGCCCAAATGGTTGGTGCCAGACCCCACGGTGGTGAGAGCCTCGTGCACTGGCCTAGTCCTTTAATTAATTGACTCTTTACGCGGAAAAAATTATTTTCTACCAGTGGTGCCCAAATGGTTGGTGCGTGTGAGAGTTTTGGTGGATGAGATAAAGATACATACTTGCATTTCAACAGTTTGGCTTGTGTGTGTATTATGAATATCGTTTCGTCTTTTAAATATTGTGATAATCCATTTCATCTACTTCCACGTTGATGATGCATGCGATTGAAATAACAGCCTTCTACTTGTTGAATTCATGAGTCATGTGGCCTTATTGTTGATGAATTATACATTTTCAAATTGAATATATATCTTCTTAATCACTTAACACAATCAAGTATTTAATGTGATCTGCTAGAAAAATGATCTCCTGTAAATCCCACAGGTACACAGCTGCTTTACATTTGCCGGTGACCCAGATTTTCTCAAGAATGACATTCGTGTGAAGCCAGATCTTGATAGCCTTGGTGTTCTTGGTGATGTTGGGTGGTACTGCATCAGGTCAATCCTATGGGCTGCTGATTTTGAACTACCTAAATTGGTAATAGCTCAGCGTGAACCTGTTCTCAACGAAGCAGGAGTAATTCTATCTTGCGGCTCTTCTTTATACTGGGAAGATGGGAAGGTAGCAACCTTCCATTGCTCTTTTCTCTCCCACTTGACCATGGATGTCACCGCTATTGGAACAAAGGGAACTTTGCATCTCAACGACTTTAATATCCCTTTTGAAGAGAACAAGGCTTCATTTTCTTTCGCTTCCGAATCAGGGTTCACGGAGCTCGAGACAGGTTGGGGACCAATGCCAAGCAAGCACATTGTCGTGACAGATCTTCCCCAGGAAGCTCTAATGGTGAAGGAGTTTTCTGGATTGGTTGGAGGTATTAAAAGAAATGGTTTGAAACCTGAGAAGAAGTGGCCTACTCTGAGTAGGAAGACACAAATGGTTCTGAATGCAGTCAAGGCATCCATCGAGAAAGGTTTCGAGCCTGTCGAGGTTGGGAATTAAATATGGATTTTCGAATCTGCTCCCACTGAAATTGATCTTGAACTGAAGTGCTGTTTGCTGCGTGTAAATCTAAATTATTCTCACCCTATTGTGTGAGTTTGATAATGTAGTTGGCATGGAATAATTTCAAGCTTGAGTTGTGATTCAAATGTCACATTTATCTTTTCTATTGTTATTTTTTATGATATATATATCTAATAAGATGTAAAAATATTAAGCAAGACTCCATGCTTTTTGGCCACTTGATTTGATTATGGAATTTGGATCATCTGCTGTGCATTGTCTAGTTCTGGGACCACCATCTCAAATATGGTCCCGACCAATCATAGCAAACGACATCAGCAAAATTAAAGTCCGCAGGAAGGTGATTTCAATGAAGGAATAGAGAAGATATGCGAGACTCAAATATGCTACTAGTTGAAGGTGTAAGATTATTTATTAATTGTGTTGCCCGCCTACATGATTTGGACATGTGATATATTTCATTAATTAATGGTTAGGTAAATAGATATCAATATTATTTGATCAGCTTATAAATTATCTTTTAGGTAATTAATTATTGGAGAAATGTTTTTCTATTTATTTCTTACTTTGATGGAAAGTGGAATTAAAGTTACTAAAAGGAAAACTGATCCTCTCTACCATTATAAAGTGCATATCCTCCATCAATTATGTACGCTAATGAAAACAACATGTATAATGTTTTTTATGTGTGCAAAAAGTCAAGAGAGAGAATCAGTTTCCACACGCGTTGCCTATTGTCCAGAGTTGCGGTTTAGTTCGTTATTAAATGATCTCGACATTGGACTTGATCTCAACAAGATTTGCTATCATGGATCGAGGTATTTATATCTAACTATTTATTTATGCATTATAGGTATGTGAGAATAATGAAGTTCTAAGATTTAGAATTCATATTTATTTGTGATTAACGCTTGACACGAATTATTAAAATTTACACGTGGTATCAGAGGTTAAGATTTAGGGACTCATTATTTTTCTTTAATGATGCATAAATAATATTTAATATATAATGATGATTACATGATTGAATAATGTGTTGTTTTGAATCCGCATTGTGGATATGTTTGATTAGTATTTTCCGTGGGTTTGTTTGGATCAAGTTTTGTGCACTGATTTTGGTTTCCATATATAGATTTTTGAATTTTATGTAATTACATGAAAGTTAATTACTAAATGATGCATGTATGCACATGTATAATAAGATGAAGAAGTTTCCTTTTCGTACATGATTTTAAAAAGGAATATGTGTATTATTATATACTAATTTTAATATTATTATGGATGAATTTTGTGGATACCAAACTAACTTGGGTATCTTGATTTCCGAGCCTGATTTAATTGCTAAAAGTTTTAATGACAGCTTGTTGAAGCTCACTGTTTTACCAATTATTGTCCAATGATATGAACGATTTTATTTTTAATTATCTGAAAAATGATAAATAATTAAATACATAAAGTATATATATTTATTTATTTTATTAAAAATTAGAATTTCTAGAATAATGTGTGAGTCTAGAAATTTGACTTTATTAGACATGCAAATAAATTATTATTTAATACCCAAACATGTATACATGATGGAGAATCAATTTTAGATTGATTCAATTATGATTTTTAAGTCCAAAAAATAAATAAAAATATATATTTTACTATGTATATAAAGTAAAATGATATTTTTATTAAATTTTTTAGACTATTAAGTTTTTGGGATCCAACTTACCTAAACTTGGATTGATCAATATAAGTATATGTGTATAATGTTAAATGAGTAAATTAATGATTAATTAGTTATTAACTAATTTAATATTCATGTTATATGAGTGTTAGTAACTACCAAAGTAGCCTAACCATAATGATTGATGAATCTTAATTTTAATAGTAAATATAATTAATGATGAATTAGTTACTAATATTCATATATATTATGTAAAGGTTGATAACTACCAAAGTGGTCTAATCATAATGGTTGATGAATATTAATTTTAGTGGTAAACATAATTGCAATATTTCATGAATTATGATGCTTATGATTTTTTGTGATATTGATGAATATTGGGTTTATTTAATTATGAAAAATAATTTCCCAAAGGGAATTAGTTTTTCTAAAGATTAAATGAAAATTAAAGGATTGTATGTATTTTTTAATTAGGTAAATATAGAATATCCAAAGGTAACTTATCTGTTTAATTAAATAATGCATCACCAATAAAGGTATACATATAAATACATGTAAGCATTATTATTAGTATTTTATAGTTGCCAACTAAAAGGGTACTATAGTTATACATTGTATTTATATTTTAAGTTATAAATACGTGTTGTTAACTCAAAGTAAGTTAAGTTCAAAATTTAGGTGTGTTAAATCTTGATTTAGCATTTTAAAATTGAGTAACCTATTGTTATTACTGATAAAGATAGTGAAAAAGAAAATTTTTTCCATAAAGTTTAGGATAGATCGAACAAATTTAACACTATAGTTATGCGAATAATTGTTCCCCATAGTGACAGTGCTAAGGAATATTTGACTATAAGAATATTTTCGTATTGTAGATAAATATCTAAAATGAAAATTATTAATTAATATCACTACTATGCATTTTTGTTGGTATTTGTACCATGTATGAATATAATTATGAGATGACTAATTGTGATACTCCTCAATTCTAGAGCCACGGGTGATCAAGTCCAAGCACAGATCCGAGGGATACCAAACAATTAAGTATATAAATAAGCATAGAATACAAGAATAATTAAAGAATAAGTAATTAAACAGAAAAGAATCTAAATAACAATCCTTGACTAACTAATTAAATAAGCCAATAATACCAAATCCTCTATTATTATTACAACTCGGGAATCCATCTAGTGAACCTTTAATAATATCCCAGCTAGAAAATAAATAACCAAACTAAAAAGGAAAACCAAAACTAAAACATAAATAATAGTTCTACGTAGTCGGAGGAGTGAATGACTGTCTTTACTCAGCACGAACAAGTTCTAAGACTGGAACCGTTCGATACCTGAAAAATAATAGTGGGTCAGGCCCATGAACAATTTTTACTTTACTACAATCCAAACAAAGACCCGATAAACATGTACATCCTAGACAACTCAACAATAGTTCAATAGTCCATATATGTATAAATACACACGATAGGACGCTCACTAGTCCATAGGTCTGTCTCAACCTGAATAGAAGGTAACATGAAAATCGCACATAAAATGAGCATGTATACCTAGACCTACCAGGGGACCAGATGTCTATTATGTCCAATTATCCATCCAATGTGATATACGCACCTTAACCATGATCCTGAGACTCAAGCTCATATCACGGTACCATAATTATATATATATATAAATCCATCCAAAAACTAAGGTATGTCATTCAATTGTTTATTGACCTGACATAGATATAAATAGGACTTAACTTTTATAATTAATCCATTTCCTTATAATAGATAGGTAGGACTTAGTATTTTAAACTAATCCATTTCTAAAATGTCACCGTCCCATACCGGTGCATATAATTCACAAATCCAATAATTGATGAAGTAAATAATAAATTAAAATATCAATTAATCCAAAATAAGCATAAGAATTTTCAGATAGTCAACTATGCTTATTATACAGCTGAAACATGATTAACACTATTTAATCATACATAGAAAAATTACTAAAACAATAGTAAGCAATTAAATCATTTATTCAATAATTAACCTGCAGATTTACTGTTGAAATTCATGTTGCTCCATTCCTTAGCCTATTAATGTAAACCACGCTTCCAAGTATTTTTACATGTCTATAACAGTCATTTAAATCATTTATAGCAACTTAGACAACTTATAACTACTCCAGATAGCCAAACAGAACCTAAAACATGACAAAACAAAATTGAGGAAGGGAGTCGCATCCCTGATAAGCGCCGAGCGCTCGTTCAAAGCCATTCGAACGCTCGTTCAAAGCCATCCGAACGCTCGTTCAAAGCCATCCGAACGCTCGTTCGACAATCATCAGCACCGAACGCTCGTCCGGCAATCATCAGCACCGAGCACTTGTCCAAAGCCATCCGAATGCTCGTTCGGCCATCATTAGCATCGAGCGCTTGTCCAAAGCCATCCGAACGCTCTTTCGGCAATCATCAGTACCGAACGCTCGTCCGACTCTTCTCCATGGGAGCCGCCTCCCTCCAAGATGGAGCCATCTCTCTCCCTGGTATCATCCATCGTTCTCATCTCCGGCGACTTTCAATCATTCCGACCCTCTCTGTTAAGATCGCTAATAGTCCTACCTAAGTCCCAGATTATTTCAGAAAATATTTGAATCCATTATACATCGTTAACATTAAGTAAAACCAATAAACATGCAAGTAAAATCAAGATCAAGTAATTAAAATTGCTTTAACATACATATTGCATTAATAAAATTCAACATGCATGAGAGATCAATTTAATATTCCATTACTCCTGGAATTGTTTAGGCATGTAAAGAACATGAAGCCTAAGGGAGAGAGTTAAATATAGAACTTGCCTTTGAGATTTTAGATTAAAATCTCGTTGCCGTCTTTCTAGATTTTTCTGGCAATCCTTGACTGTTTTCAACTCCTCTGTTGCCCTTGGTTCAACCCACGAACAACACCCCTTCTTCTTTTTCTTGGTTCAGCCTTGGTTCTTGGCTAAACCTTCTCCTCTTCCTCTCCCCGTTCTCTCACAAACTGTTTGCTCATTCTCTCTGCCTCCACTGTTACGTGAATAGGGTTCTAAACCATTGGCAGACGTAATAAGATATATTTATAGGCACATTTAATTTAACCTAATTCTAGTTACCTAAGGAAAAAGAAAAGGAATTATAATATAACTTAACTATATATATATAAGTCGGTACCCTAATCCAACGTGATATCATATATAATATATATAAATAAACCATTATAATTATATAATATATATCATATACTGAATATCACTATAAATTTAACTATTAATTATAATTAGTAATTAACATAATCCTATATACATATATACCTATATATATATGTATAATTATTCATAGATAAAACCATACCCATTTGATCCCCCATCCAAGTAATCCATGAGACCCAAACGGTGGGTCCATTACTTCTGTCCAAGCCCAACTCCTTAAAGTTAAACAAACATTTAATTTAAATATTTAATTACAACTAAACACTTAACACATA